CCACCTCAGACTACCAAATAATTTCACTAAACATTATGAAAAATTTATACTTTTTTAATTAAAAAAAACTACAGGGGAAAAAACACCTGCATCACTTGAAACATTGAAAAATAGCATAGAGAGAATAACTTATTATTATTATTCTCTCGCTGTTATTTATTTATTTTTATTTTTTTGTGGGTTTCATGCTGTCCGCTAAGGCATAGGACACACAGGCTTTCCTCACCAACGACATTAAACACGTGTCTGCACCGGACGTGAGCGGCAAAATACTATTATAATCAGTGACGCTGTGTACACTGGATGCGACGTGACAAGACAAAACCCGACATTAAACTGATGCCTTGTTCTATTTATGATGTACTGACACAAAGTTAAAATGATTTGCACTGGTCTCTTTGTCGTGTCCAGTGTAGAGCTGTTGCGGCGCGTCAACTGTAGCGTCCGGTATAGACACGATGAGTAAAGCCGAGAGTGAGATATGCCTCGTCATATTTTCTGTATTTAGCTTTTGAATGACCAGCACCTGCCTGGGTCTGTGCGACTTCATCTATGTCTTTTCTCTTCCCTTTCACAAACCGATCTCCCATTCTAAGTTACGTCCTTTGGCTGTTTACCGTTTTATTTCTTTTCTTTTTCTGCTGATGGCCCACGCTCGACTTGAAGCAGCGCTGCTTAGACCGATGGGTGTGTGTGTCATCAAAGCACTGCGAGAGCTATAAGAGAGCGCGGACATCTCCTTATGCTTTCTCTCACCTTACTTTGATGTCGTACACCGATCGATCTTCAAGTCGAACACACCTCTTTACTCTCGCGTGTCACGTGACCGTGTAATCGCAGCCTCTTCGATTGAAAAATCTTGTTATTTCATATCGCGATATTATCGCAAATGCAATTAATCTTTCAGCCCTACTTATTTGGATGACAGTATGTAAATGGAATTTAAAATATGCAGTGATCATTGTTATCTCAAAACATTCCAATTAGAGCAAATACTCATAATCAGACAATTATATAATGACTAATGTCATTATACGTAATTTGATATATAGTAATTTCAGTGTTGAGTGTAGTATGTTTTTTCATGCACCAGTCTGAAGGACAGTGGCCTATATGCGTCACATTAGTGCTGCTGTGGTGTAAGTCTCTTAGGATGTGGGATAATGTGTGTGTGTGACTGAAAGCCTTTGTCGATTTAGTCCATACATGAGCTTAACACAGCAAGACAAACCTCCCCACAGTGCAACAAACACACACACGCTCACTGTAGCGGTGTACTTGTGTGTGTACGGCCTCCCCCGTAGATCACTTTCATTGCTATCAGCATGAGACAGACGGAGCAAAGGGAGGAACAGAATGGACAGCGAGAGAGAGAGAGAGAGAGAGAGAGAGAGAGGGGGTTACACCATGTGTTTCTTTGATATATTTCAGATGTACATTGAGAACCTTCAGTGGCTCAGTTTTGTGTTAGTGTGTGTTGAATGGGTTTTTGTAGCCTGTGTATATGTGTATATATATACT